CATTCCAGGTCCTAGGGGGCTGCTGACGCCAAGATCAGGGCAAACAAAGTCATTACCAGGTAATGAGCTGATTAAGAGGTCAGACAAGGTCATTACTGGGTAATGAATTAGCCCCCTGCAGAGTCACCTGCCTCAGGACATTCCCAGAGAACACCTCTGTGGCCAGTGCCCAGGGCCCAGGGCTGAGGGGTGTTCAGGGCCAATGTGCCCCAAGTTCAGCTCCTTACAGAAGGAAACCCTGGACCCTACAGTAACATTCAGGCAAGCATTTCTCTTTGAACCAGGGTCCACTGCCATTCAGGAATCTGGGAGACAAATTCCCAGAGTCCACAAATCTCATACTTATGTGCCTGCTGTGTGGTCACAAACACCCTCCCCCCTCCTCACCTCTGCTGTCCTCACCATTTTCTGGCAGTGTAGACTCATTCAGAGCTCTGATAAGTGGGGAAACTGATGCAAGGTAGCAGGGGCTATAAACTGTCCCGGCAGGAGCTGAGATGTACTAAAGAAAGATGTGTGGCCCTTTGGCTATCAGACTACTGAAATGATGGATGCCAAGGAGTTAGAATTTACCAGAAATTTTATGCTGGAGGAATGAAAAGCCCAATGCCTGGGACTAGCCAGAGAAGGGAGCTTGTCTCCAGAAAGGGATTTCACAAAGTGCTGACAACCTGTCAAACCATCTTGCAGGAAAGACTGGAACAGGAACAATGTCTTGTCAGTGGTGTGTGCGTGTTTTGGTCAGGGCCACTTGGTTATGTATACTTCTTGCTTTCTCATTTAAACCTAAACCTACCAGAGGCAGTCTTGGGGTGGGGGTGGGGGTGAAGGGCTGAACCTCTTTATTTGTACCTCTTTCCAGTGTGGCCACACCAAATAGATGTCTTTTATCTGTTTTTCATTAATACTGTCTCTTTAATTGGGCTACTGAGAATGGGCGGCCAAACTCAGCTTGTTAGGGCTGCCAGGGCCCAGGCTTACACTCTAGAAACTCTGGTAACAGGGCCACCAGAGATCACCAGAGGCCACCAGAGGTAACAGGCCTCTGAACCTGGAACCCTGCTGATAGCTGGGTCCTGGAGAATAGATTAGACATACCTGCCAGCAATTCTCTGGCCCCTGCTCCCTCCAGGTCTCTACTCCCTCTGGTACTCCCCAATGCCTCCTGGAGGCAGCTCTAGGGCCCCATGACATCTGCAGAGTATCTCTAGTTCACACATCAGGGCTAGCCCAGAACCCCATGCCCAGCCAGCTTCAAGGCCCCTGTGCTTGCCTCTTATTTCACCCAGAACTGGGCCAGCTGGAAGTTGGTAAGACCCTGGAGAAGACAGAGCTCCCCATCACAGGGCCTGGTGTTGAGGGTACATGTGCGGGTGGGTACTTCTCTAAGGACTGTGAAGCTAGTTTCCCCCCCTCCAGTGGGTCCAACAGCTCCCTGAGCCCCTCCAGCATGGCTGAGTGCCCTGCTGGCCCCCAAGTGCCCTAGGGAAATAAATCCTCTTATCTCGGTGGCTGCCAGGGTTTAATAGCAACAGAGTAGACTAGTGGCAATAGTGACAATAGTTAAATTACACGGCTCCAGGTGTTCTCTCCATCTCCCCTCCCCTGCCTTGTTCACGAGTTAATGAGTGGCATGTTCACTAGCTGCCTATCCAGGAGGGCTAGAGCAGCAGGTAAGATGGGAACAACCCCACAGCCAGGTTCCCTGAACCACCACACTCTCCAGCTTTGCCCCTGCTTCTTGTCCTGTCTTTTCTATCCCTGAAGGAAATACCTTCTCTCTGAGTAGCCACCTGGGCAAAGGCTGTCTACTCATCCCACCCTCCAGACCTCCAGATCTGCTCTAGCCCTGCCACTCCCTACCACACCTGGGCCAGGCTTCTCACTGCCTCTTCTTTCTCCTTGGTGCTGAGGGTAGATCCCAGGTTCATGCTAGGACAGTGCTGGTTTCCCAGGGCCCTACCCTTGACCTTTATTGCACTTGAGCTCAGAGACTCAGATTCAGCCCTCACTAACACCTCTGCAGCCCTGCTCGGGATCCACTGGGGTCCCCGGGTCTCCCTCCCACTCTATTCTCCCTCCTTCCTGCACAGCCCATGGCAGGACCCTGGACCTCTGCCACAAGCCCTAGGGCCCACATCTGCAGCCTTAATAAGCTAAAACCTGAACTCACTGCAGAGGCCCAGCTTGGAGCCTATTCATAAACCTTAGTCAGAAACCAAACCACCAAATTATCCTCCTTTCCACCCAGGCCCCTCCTGCCTCAAACATTCCCACTGCTGGTCTCCAAGCTTGGAGTCTCAGGTGCCCTCCCCAACCCCTCCCTACCTCCTAGGATTCACAGGTACAGACTTGGCTCAGAGAGGGAAGCACCCTAGGTCACACAGCAGGTCTGCGAAAGGATTCCAGGGCCTTTTAATCAGCAGCATTTTAATTATGGGGGGGGGTATGGTTAATGAGGCTCTAGAATTTTGCTGGGCCAGATACTGGAGGTCCCAGAGGGGCAGGTGACTCAGCAGGAATTGGTGAAGTCTTAGAGGCTGACAGAGTGCCAGATTCTTACCTGCTGCCTTTACCTAGATAGGCTCTAGGGAATGAAGGAGGGATGAATGAATTAAAGGAACCAGATGGCTCTCTGCTAGGCTGCCAATGAAGAGTGGACAGCACCCCTGCCACATATATGCACATATATGGAGGCCAGCCTCTGTGCACCTGGGAACACAAACCCAGTAGCTGTCTCCTGGCCCTGCTGCAACCATGTTGAGCCCTCCCTCCTCACAATTTGCTGGGAAGGCCCTAGGGCACGAAGCACCCAGAGTGCTAACAAGGCCCGGGGGATATAAGGAGAGCAACATGGCAGGTGGCGTGATACTGCCCTCTAGAGGGACATGCAGCCCATGGTGTTAGGCACAGGCAGAACCTCAGGTCAGTTTGCACAGGAGTAAGAAGGGGGGCAGTGGCTCTTAGGAAAATGAAAGGGTAGTGAAGACAGACAGAAGGGAAGAGGTTAGCAAGCACAGTCACAGGCTCCTCATGGGGTTTGACCAGGGTAGGTAGGAGGGGCCAGGAGACTCCTCTGCTCAGGCCCTCCCATTCACATATTTGCTCTTTCATCAAACATTTCAGCATATTTAGCAACATGGAGGACCTAGCCCAGTGCCAGATGCAGTCCAGGAGAAAATGACCCAGCTTTGGTCTCAGGGACCTCATTGGGGAAGGGAAGAGAGTAGTTTAAAATCACAGTGAGGGGTCTGGAGAGATGGCTCAGCAGTTAAGAGCACTAGCTGTTCCTGTAGAGGACCTGGGTTCCATTCTCAGCACCCACACGACAGCCAGCAATCTTCCCTAACTCTAGTTCCAGGGGATCTGATAACCTCTTCTGGTCTCCATAGGCATTGCATGCATGTGGTATGCTTACTTACATGTAGGCAGAACACTCATACATATAAAATAAAAATAAAAAATTTAAAAAATGTTAAATCACTGTGAACCAGGTACAGTGGTATGTGTCTGTAGTCCCATTATTGGAAGGACTGAGGCAGGAGAATCATTTGAGTATAGGAGCTCAAGACTGGTCCAGGCAACATAGCAAGGCCCTGTCTCAAAACAAAACACAAAAGTGGCTGGGGATGTAGCTCAGTTGGTAGAGTACTTGCCCAGCGTGCATGAAGTCCTGAGTTTGACCCCCACCATGGACTGCATAAATTGGGTGGCACAAACCTGTAATTCTAGTACTCAGGAGGTGGAGGCAGGAGGATCAGGAATTCAAAATCATGCCTGGTTACATAGCAAGTTTGAGGCCAGCTTTGGCTACATGAAACCCTATCTAAATAAAAAAAAAAAAAGCAAAAGCAAAAAAAAAGTTGTGAAAGTTACTTGTAGGTGAAGACTACTAGCTGTGAGCCTGGGTGGTCAAGGAAGGCTTCAGTTTCACTGTCCCAGTGGGGTAAATAGAAACTACTAGCAGACTTGGAGATGGAGGGCACAGAGTTTATGTAAAGCTGGAAGGGCGGAGGTGGTTGTTTGGTTAGGAGATGTTAAAAAGGGTATGGGGCACCAACCGGTATGAGATGGGCTGGGACTGGGCAGTCTCTGAGGGATGGGCACACCAGAGAGCAAGTAAGACAGATCCTCAGGGGTTGGGTGGTGGGGCAGGATCTTGGTATTGGAGATGACAGCAACAAGGATGGAGTCTTTTTAAAAAAAAATACTTATGGTTGGCATGGTGGCACAAGCCTTTCACTCTGGAGACGGATCTCTGTGAGTTCAAGGCCAGCCTGGTCTACAGAGTGAGTTCCAGGAAAGCTGGGGCTACAGGGAGACCCTGTCTCAAAAAAGACCAAAAAAAAAAAAAAAACCTTGAAAACCTTACATATTTTACTTATTATTTTTATTTTATGTGTACGTAAGAGCACCACATGCATGCAATGCCTGCAGAGACCAGAAGAGAGTGTTGGATCTCCTAACTGGAGTTACAGAAGGTCCTTCCTTAGCCTACCATGTAGGAGGTGAAACTCCTACCCCTGTCCTCTTGGAAGAACAGCAACTGTTCTTAATTGCTGTGGAATTTCTCCAGCCCCGAGGATGGATATGGACTGAGGGAGACACAACAGAGTGACCTGGGTTGGGGATGTATCTGAGCAGAGCACTTGGCTAACATCACACACACACACACACACACACACACACACACTCTCCCTCCCTCCCTCCCTCCCTCCCTCCCTGGATTATGACTAGAGGGAAGGGACCAAAACCAAGTCCAGCCCAGCCTTCCCCTGCTGGGATGGGGACAGCTTTCATCAGAGGATGTGAGCTGGCTTTTGGTCTGGGGGGCTTTGCGTGCCTAGGCTTTTGTGCCCATTGCTCCTGTTGCCTCTGCCTAGAAGCCAGCTGAAGTTCTATGTGGGGTCCTGGCTGACAACATGGTCCCTAGGGCAAGTCTCATACACCCCTGCCTACTACTATTGACATCCTCCACCACCTCTGGCCTCCCTGGAGTCTCAGCCACCCAGGAACTGTCCCTGGAGGGGTTCCCGGAGCTCCACGGTGGTTCCCCGAGGACCTGGTCGTTCCCACAGCCGCCCCAAGGGGCCGTCTCTAACGCACTGCGTGCTCCCGGGGGTCCAGTGGTCGCTAGGCTGCAGGCTGGGACTCCTGGCCTTGCTGGGCGCTGGTGGCAGTGACAGAGTAGGTGGCGGCGCGCATGGCGGCGGAGCCCGGGCGCTCGTGGACTCAGGTCCGCACCGCGTACGGCGCGAGCGAGGCGCTGCGGCGAGGCATGGGCCGCCGGCGGGACCCCGGCGCCCAGCCCAATGGACCAGTCCCGGAAGACACCCGCGCCCCAGGCCGCCTGGCTCGCTTGCGGAGCCACCTTCGGGCGGAGGCGGCGGCGCGGACCGAGGCGCCGCGTCTGCT